GGGGGGGAACTGCCACCTATCGACCCCGATCTCTTTTCATTTGTTTTGGATATTCCCAAACCTAGCTTAGCCTTCGTAAACCCATATGCCCCTCTAACCAGTCGTACTCTGACCAGGCGTCAAAAAACTTCGAGATCACCGAGTTTCTCGGGAATCGAGAGGTCATGAGCTTTTGGACAATTCAATATGAGCGAACTCCAAAAGCATCAGACCGCATGTAATAATGGCTCGTCCCTAGTGCCTATGAACTAACTGAAAGGCCTCTTTTCAACGAGTTCTTCTTTACTGAGAAAATTGGCATGACTATTTCTATAAGTAATAGAATGTATGAAGTCGGCCCGAGAAACAGAAAAAAATTTACTTTTTGAAGTCAATAAAACTTACCAAGCAATAAAGACATGAAATATTTCAAAATAGAAAGAGCCCGATGTAACTTGGTCCTTGTTATATAGTAGCAAAATGGTGAATACTAACAGATCTGCCGCCGCTAGTATAAAAAAAAAAAGCACATAAGGATCCACTATATTAAAATATATTGATCACTGATCAGGATCATATAAAGCCTGGTATTCCTAGAAAGGATAGTTGTGATGTCCTTTCGTGGCCAGCCTTTTCAGTATGGAGCCGAAGGCGAGGGTTTCTAGCTTTACGCCGGCCGTGGAATCAAACGAAGGTCGAAGGACCATTCGATTCATTAAGGGGCATAGCGGCACCCTCGCCCGGCACTAGCAACAGACGGGCGGGTTGTGCGATGCTTTCCCAAAGCCGACTTCCTTTATCGAGCGGCTCTCTCTGCTGATGTTGACGATAAAAGTTCATTTCTTCAATTTCACCATAGCTTTGGTTTCAATTTCAAAAATCATTGTATATGTCTCTAATTTCTCCATCGGTTTTGGTCAAAGTACCCAGGCAACTTAGCTTGAGAGTCAAATTAACATTACATATTTTTTTCATAACTATTATGGCTTCATCTAATCGACATTATTGATAGTTCCTTGACAAATAATAATATTTAACTGAAAGAAGCAACAACAAACCCAGTTTGATCCCAACAGGTGGGGTCTGGGGAGGGTAGTCTGTACGCAGACCTTACCCCTACCTAATGCAGGTAGAGAGGCTGTTTCCAATAGACCCTCGGCTCAGGAAGGGCAAGAAGAAGAAGAGGAAAGCAAGGAAGGAAGAAAGATGGAAGAGAAAAGAAAAGGGAGAGATAAAGGATAAGTAGTACCAAATAATAGCAACAGGGAATACAATACCTGAGGCGAACAAAACCACATAACGTAATAAAAAACTAAGAATATGAAGAGACATGTGTGCTACTAAGACTATCGGTGAACAACTATAAACTACCTACTAACCTTCTACCTTAATCCTCGACCTCCACACCCTCCTATCAAGAGTCATGTCCTCAGTGAGCTGAAGCAGCGCCATGTCCTGCCTAATCACCTCTCCCCAGTACTTCTTAGGCCTACCTCGACCTCTTCTCAAACTCTCCATGGCCAACCTCTCACACCTCCTGACAGGAGCATCAATCTTGTTCTCTTTAACATGTCCGAATCATCTCAGCCTCGACTCCCGCATCTTGTCCTCCACGGAGGCTACTCCCAATCTGTCCCGGATAGCTTCATTCTTATTCCTATCTCTCCTGGTACACCCACACATCCATCTCAACATCCTCATCTCTGCTACTCTCATCTTCTGCACGTGGGAGTTCTTAACTGGCCAATATTCAGCCCCATACAGCAAAGCCGGTCGAACCACCATCGATAAAACTTACCCTTAAGTCTTAGCGGCACATTCCTATCACACAAAACACCGGAAGCGAGCCTCCACTTCTATCCATCCCGCTCCGATGCGAAGTGCGACATCTTCGTCAATCTCCCCGTTACCCTGGATAATAGACCGAGATATTTAAAACTCGCTCTCTTGGGGATAACTTGAGCATCAAGCTTAACCTCTGCGTCTGCATCATGGGTCCTGTCACTGAATTTGCACTCCAAGTATTCTGTCTTGGTTCTACTCAGTTCGAAACCTTTAGACTCCAAGGTCTGTCTCCAAACCTCCAACCTCGCGTTAACTCCGCTACGCATCTCGTCAATCCACACTATATCATCGGCAAATAGCATGCACCAAGGCACCTCCCCTTGGATGTGACGCGACAGTACATCCATCGCCAAGGCAAATAAAAATGGGCTAAGAGCCGATCCTTGGTGCAACCCCATCACCACAGGGAAATGCTCTGAGTCACCACCGACAGTCCTCACCCGAGTCTTAGCATCATCATACATATCCTTAATTACCCTAATGTACGCTACCGGAACGCCGCTAACTTCCAAACACCTCCACAGGACCTCCCTCGGAACTTTATCGTATGCCTTCTCAAGGTCAATAAACACCATATGCAAATCCTTCTTCCTCTCCCTGTATTGCTCCACTAATCTCCTTACTAGATGAATCGCTTTCGTAGTGGAATGCCCCGGCATGAATCCAAACTGATTCTCGGAAATAGACACGCACCTCCTCACCCTGGCCTCCACCACCCTCTCCCAAACCTTCATAGTGTGACTCAATAACTTGATACCCCTATAATTGTTGCAATTTTGGATATCACCCTTGTTCTTGTAAAGCGGAACCATCGTACTCCATCTCCATTCTTCGGGCATCTTCTTTTTCTTAAAAATAACATTAAACAGCCCAGCGAGCCACTCCAAACCTGCCCGCCCCGCGCTCTTCCAGAATTTCACCGGGATTTCGTTTGGCCCCGTCGCTCTGCCCCTGCACATCTTACGCATCGCCCCTTCCACCTCCTCTACCGTAATCCGCCTACAGTACCCAAAATCCCGCCGACTCTCGGAGTGCTCCAACTCACCCAGCACAATGCGTCTATCCCCCTTCTCATTCAACAGTTTATGGAAGTATGTCTACCATCTTCTCCTAATGAGTGCCTCGTCCATCACCACTTCGCCATCCTCGTCCTTGATGCACTTGACTTGGTCTAAGTCGCGGGCTTTCCTCTCCCTCACCTTTGCCAACCGGTACAACCTCTTGTCCCCGCCTTTGCCCTCGATCTCCTCGTACAAACGAGCAAACGCCGCGTTCTTAGCCGTCGTAACTGCTTTCCTAGTTTTCTTGAAAGAAGCAAGTTAAATATTACTTTTTTCAAGTTTTAGTAAAACTGATACAGATATTTAACATGCTATAGTTGACTAAGACATTATAAAGGTATATCATCTCTATCCAAATGGGAGGTGTCTTTTCCCCAGGAATAAGAAACTCACTACATAATATCTTAAGCAAGGAAGACTGGAGAGACCATAAAAAGATGGCAAGGGACTACATTGCGCAGCAACTTGGCTGTTGGCATCAACATGGAAACTCCATCAGAATATATCTCCTGTTAAAAGCCTCTTCCAGACCACTCGCTGCTGCCTCTACTACCTAGGAATCACATACACCAAACCTAACGCTGCGTATATCTGTCATACTGTAATCCAAGAAGAGACAATCAATAGGACTGGAACATGAGTCCATGAAAAAGCTGACTGTGTCCTTTTTCTCTTTCTTTTTTTAATATATATATATATATACACCTTTTGAGACATTCATTTGTCTCCCTTGGACACAGTACAATGAGGTACATGAATTCCAATTAAAGGATCATTCGTATTACTTACTATAGACTTCAATAGGCATTTAGCATTCTGTTTCATGTTTATCTTAGAGGTTGGGACTCTTTGGGGTACTTTGTCAATCTTTATTTTCATTTGAACAAGTGTTGTCAACGGCGCGCTTAAGCCCTGAAGCGAGGCTCAAAACATGTTGAGCGCTTCGCCTTGCTTTGTGGGCGCTTTAGTGTCGCATCAAAGCTCTAAGGCATACTTTTCCTTGCCAATGAGTGTAATCCTGAAAAGGTGACATTAAACAATTGATATTTCACTTTATCGTAAATTTTTTGCAATTTTTTTGTCCATATATTTGTTATTCATACGTATAATTATTAGTCTTGGACTACATATACATATTTTTACTTTTTCTTCAGTTGCGCCTTTTTTCATTAAAACCCACGCTTTATTTGCACTTTGCGATTAAAGCCCCAACGGACCTTAGAGCTTTTGCGCTTTTCGCCTATGATAACACTGATTTGAACAAGCTCAGCCTATTTTTTTAGCATTGGAACTACAATCTAGCAGAGTACAATAAATATTTTTACTTCACAGCTATCGACTTTCTTCCTTTTACGTATCTGTTTATTGTTTTTGTCTTGTTCGAGTTATGTCCCTCGAATTTAAAATTTTTCATGTCTTGAGGTCTGACATGAAGCTACTGTCAGTTTACATGTAACTTAGTCTATCACTAGGGAGATTGTAGCAGATCAGATTCCAATTAACGAACCTCACAAACTAACGCCTTGAAATTTTATCAAACTTGGTTAGATGTTGCAATATGAAGTCACTGAAAGAAAAATAAGTAGAAATACCAGGATAGGTAGGCGCATTTTAGAAAAATAGAGAAGGAGAACTTGCTTGCTAATTCTTGCTCCAACATGAACGTCGATCTATTATGACCAGCGCACCACCACATAAACCATGGATCCGCTCGGGTGGCCAGTGATTTTCTTATCGATTATTATGGATCCGTTAGGTGCTATTTCAATTGCCAAAAAAATCACTATTGAACATGGTGGGAGTCACAGAATGGATGACTTAAACTGAAAGTAAGTTCTCCAAATATATCTATTGACACTTCATCCTAACCAACTATAGAATGTGCTCCAAAGTTTCTCCAATATTTATGCCTACTAATGCATCATCCTAACCAACTTACCAACTACAGAAAGTGCTCCACTTATCCTTTCTTGTTTCAGGTATTCCACTCATTCTCAAAGTATATAGCTCTAGTAGTCAAATGTGTTGCCAAGAGAGATCGGGACGAAGATTTTCTGATGCATTAGAAAAAAAAACTTCCATAAAGATTAGATGAAGAAATAACTACTCTGCCCACCTCACAAGAAGGATTCATTCTCCATCTATTGGACTGCAACAACAACAACAACAATAACAAACCCAGTTTGATCCCAACAGGTGGGGTCTGGGGAGGGTAGTCTGTACGCAGACCTTACCCCTACCTAATGCAGGTAGAGAGGTTGTTTCCAATAGACCCTCGGCTCAGGAAGGGCAAGAAGAAGAAGAGAAAAGCAAGGAAGGAAGAAAGATGGAAGAGAAAAGAAAAGGGAGAGATAAAGGATAAGTAGTACCAAATAATAGCAACAGGGAATACAATACCTGAGGCGAACAAAAGTACATAACGTAATAAAACTCTAAGAATATGAAGAGACATGCATGCTACTAAGACTATCGGTGAACAACTATAAACTACCTACTAACCTTCTACCTTAATCCTCGACCTCCACACCCTCCTATCAAGAGTCATATCCTCAGTGAGCTGAAGCAGCACCATGTCCTGCCTAATCACCTCTCCCCAGTACTTCTTAGGCCTACCTCGACCTCTTCTCAAACTCTTCATGGTCAACCTCTCACACCTCCTGACAGGAGCATCAATGCTTCTTCTCTTAACATGTCCGAACCATCTCAGCCTCGACTCCCGCATCTTGTCCTCCACGGAGGCTACTCCCACTCTATCCCGAATAGCTTCATTCTTAATCCTATCTCTCCTGGTACACCCACACATCCATCTCAACATCCTCATCTCTGCTACTCTCATCTTCTGCACGTGGGAGTTCTTGACTGGCCAACACTCAGCCCCATACAGCATAGCCGGTCAAACCACAACTCGATTAAACTTACCCTTAAGTCTTAGCGGCACATTCCTATCACACAAAACACCGGAAGCGAGCCTCCACTTCATCCATCCTGCTTCGATGCGATGTGCGACATCTTCGTCAATCTGCCCGTTACCCTGGATAATAGACCCGAGATACTTAAAACTCGCTCTCTTGGGGATAACTTGAGCATCAAGCTTAACCTCTACGTCTGCATCATGGGCCCCGTCACTGAATTTGCACTCCAAGTATTCTGTCTTGGTTCTACTCAGTTTGAAACCTTTAGACTCCAAGGTCTGTCTCTAAACCTCCAACCTCGCGTTAACTCCGCTACGCGTCTCGTCAATCAACACTATATCATCGGCAAATATCATGCACCAAGGCACCTCCCGTTGGATGTGACGCGACAGTACATCCATCGCCAAGGCAAATAAAAATGGGCTAAGAGCCGATCCCTGGTGCAACCCCATCACCACAGGGAAATGCTCCGAGTCACCACCCACAGTCCTCACCCGAGTCTTAGCATCATCATACATATCCTTAATCACCCTAATGTACGCTACCGGAACGCCGCTAACCTCCAAACACCTCCACAGGACCTCCCTCGGAACTTTATCGTACGCCTTCTCAAGGTCAATAAACACCATATGCAAATCCTTCTTCCTCTCCCTGTACTGCTCCACTAAGCTCCTTACCAGATGAATCGCTTCCGTAGTCGAACGCCCCGGCATGAATCCAAACTGATTCTCGGAAATAGACACGCACCTCCTCACCCTGGCCTCCACCACCCTCTCCTAAACCTTCATAGTGTGACTCAATAACTTGATACCCCTATAATTGTTGCAATTTTGGATATCACCCTTGTTCTTGTAAAGCGGAACCATCGTACTCCACCTCCATTCTTCGGGCATCTTCTTTGTCTTAAAAATAACATTAAACAGCCCAGTGAGCCACTCCAAACCTGCCCGCCCCGCGCTCTTCCATAATTCCACCGGGATTTCGTCTGGCCCCGTCGCTCTGCCCCTGCGCATCTTACGCATCACCCCTTCCACCTCCTCTACCGTAATTCGCCTACAGTACCCAAAATCCCGCCGACTCTCGGAGTGCTCCAACTCACCCAGCACAATGCGTCTATCCCCCTCCTCATTCAACAGTTTATGGAAGTATGTTTGCCATCTTCTCCTAATGAGTGCCTCGTCCATCAACACTTCGCCATCCTCGTCCTTGATGCACTTGACTTGGTCTAAGTCGCGGGCTTTCCTCCCCCTCACCTTGGCCAACCGGTACAACCTCTTGTCCCCGCCTTTGCCCTCGAGCTCCTCGTACAAACGAGCAAACGCCGCGTTCTTAGCCGTCGTAACTGCTTTCCTAGTTTTCTTGAAACCACAGGAAATATTCTTCCTACATTATTGAGATATTAAGTATCAAAATTCAAAATAGTGCAAAAACCAAATCTCTAAATTTTGCCTGCACACTGAAGCTTAATTAGCCTGATCTCTCTTGAAATTGGTCAAGCTGATCTAAAACTGAAATAGGCCAACAACTGAGCAGAAGGGAATAATGACAACTTAATATCCTCATCCCCTTCCACCAAGGGTAGAAACAATCCAGGAAAAGCCATCTATTTATTAAAACTCAATGACATCTCAAACTGAGCAAAGTCAAGCACATCTATGACCTCAGCAGCCTACTTCTTTAATGGGATGTAATTTCCTAACTAATAAAATCGAAGTCCCAATGCAACAATTCACCAATCAAGCCTACTAGAACTGCGCGTGTCTCATGACAAAGATACCGACAGCAAGGATAGCAGCATTAGCAGCCAAATTGGAAGTAACATAACATGAAGATGGTAAAAGAAGTAGTAGTTAAGTGCTCTCTTTTGACATTTGAGGAAATCAAGTTCACCATTTTATAATAGATTCTATTTAACAACAAGAGCCAAGATGGTAAATGGTCTAAAAATAATCTTATCTTTCATACCGATAACGTGTCTTCAAGCTTTTTAGTTTCAGCAAGTAACTTCTTCTCGTCGATGAACGGCAATTTTACAACAGCCTGTTTTACAGAGGAAATCACAATTAGTCCACAGATATCAAGCTCTCAAATAAGTAAACAGCTAAAATCATATCAGAAAACCACTAGACATTCGAATATTGCAGTAAAAATACCTGCCATGCAAAACGCTTTCCATTCATGTCAAGTTCAAAATCTGAAGGCACAAAAGAATTTATGGTGAATGATTGACTTCTGAACAAGAAGAGATATATAGTAAACTGAACTGCAGTAAAATGTTGACATGACACCTGTTGGGTAAAAATCAGAAATTGGTGATGATGGATCCATCATTAGCATCCTGTACTTTTCAGGAAGAGCATTTGCACTGCAGGACAGGTAAAGGGGGGGGGGGGGAGGAGAAACATAAACAACCACTAATGAGAGGAATCACCAGCTCTGGATAAAAGATGCTTCCTTTGGCAAATCTTTCAATATGGAGTATGAAGAACTTAAAGATAACCTTGCAGCTGGCAGAACACCCATTAGCTGATCAAAGGGCTTAAATGGTTCCCCTGGGAAGAAAGTAATTTCCAAGTCCGCCAGACCTTTGAGGTCAGAAGCAAATGGAGCATAATGATATGGGTAAAACCTATTAAAAAAGCGAATTGTAAGTGCACATTGCCACTTGAGCCACCTAAAATTTAGGAAGGACGAAGAGATGTTAGAAGAATTAAGATCCTCCCCTGTCCCAATTAATATGACAACTTTCCATTTTGAGACATCCCAAAATATTTGACAGCATGCCACTAACAAATTATTCTGTACAACTTTCACAAATTTCAAGAATTCAAAGTCATTTAGTTATACAAACTTTAAACTTTGAGGTGATGTTTTCTCTACCAAACTAACTTTCAACCATTTCTTTAATATCTTTCCCACTATCACTAATATAATTCATTAAGTGAAACTAGAATTTTAAACTCCGTGTCTAGTGTTAAAGTGGGACTAGCTGATAACTTCTAATCAGTGCATTAGACATCAATAAGCAGGTTCCACTGCACGCGTGACTCACATAAAATTGATGAGGGGTAAAAAAGTAGGAAGAAGAGATTCTCCCAACTCCAAGCACTAACCCCTCACCTCCAATCAAAAAATAAATAAAAAGTTAAAAGAATGAATATCTGAATAATAGAAAATTCAACTATTACAATAGGAGTCATACACAACATCCCTACAAGGATAAGTGCAAAGTAATCAATATTATATATGTGGCATACTGCAGGAAGAAAGAAGCTCCATCTTTCTACCACAAAGTATTCAATAAAGCAATAACTTCACAAGAAATGTATATGAAGTGCAAAAATACTATTCATTTATCCAGGAAAACAACAAACCATTGCCACGAGCAAACACCTTGGTAGTAATACCGGCAAACCCAACATAATCCTTCCACATACTTCTGAACCTGAAATTTTGACATTTATCATCTAAAAGTTGAGAATAAGACTAAATTTCACAATCATATTACTAGCTATAGGATGCAAAATAATGTTAACTGCAAGAGAAAGGCAGGCCAAAAGGGAAGTTGGCCTGCCCCTCAAAGAAAGATCTTCCCCTGCAGACCCATCTCTCCTAGTCGGCCGTTAATAAGCACAGCAAATACATGTAAACAGATCTCCCAAAATCGCAGATTTCGCAAAGAGGAAAATGGAATCTCTCAGCACAAGAAAGAGTGCCAAATTATACAAATCTAGGAAAGAGAAACTTCTTGCACTTATGTTCCCCATACTATAACAAGTTCAATCTGCATTTTCTATATAATGCACCCTCATGTAAGTCTATTGAGAACATTTTATCTAACGGTGCAATTAGAGATTAAGTGGTGCACAAAGGAAAAGGACGTAAGCACAGCTGAGGTCGCCATGCTATTTCTCTCACAAAAGATACCAGGATCCAATATACTTCAAAAGCAAGAACTTCCTACAATCATAAGCATCTTGTTGTCCCATATGAGATTTTTCAGCAGATAATGTACTCACTCTAATTAATGAAGCTTGAGGCAGCAGATAAGGTTTTCTATGAGTTGAGGGAAGTGACAAGTATGCCCATAGTTTCATCCTTGGTTAAGCACGATGCAATACCATAATTTAAGGCATCTAGGAAAGCAGTGCAAGATGTGAATCGATTGTCATATGATGGTATCTGTGATAAAATAGATGCATGGGACTTCAGTTTCACTACAGTTTCTGATACTGGGAACAGAACTTGGTAGTATTTATAAACTATCCACTGGCACTGTAATCACCAGAGGCAAGCAGTTACAGGCATACAGCGCAGCCGAAGCAATGAAACTAATCACCCATGTCTTCATAGATATGGTAATATCATGCTAATCTCTGAATATATGTAGAAGTTATCTACAACCTACTCAAAATTACATTCCAAACTTCTATAACATGAAAAACCATTTAAGAAATCATTTCCTCCAAATTCTACTCAAACCACATTGGTCTGTTCGTGCAGTTATTGCAGTTTTTTTGGCCCTCATTCTTCAGATGAGTAGACCTATTAACATCCAAGTTATCCTTCACAAGTTAATGAAGGACATGAATGAAACTGTTTTCTGGAGATTAGGAAAGAGAAAGACAGATCAAAAAGAAATTGGATAACATGGATCAATTGGTATATTTGAGGAGATTTTTTTCTTTAACCAAAGCTGAGGAAACATCTTTCAGAAAAAGATCAAGAGGGGTGTGGCTAATATATGGAGATAGGAACATAGTTTCTCCCAGAGGATGGCTGATGTGAAGAAGAAGAAGAAGAAGAAGAAGAAGAAGAACTGCATTGATCAATAGGAAGAAGGCTAAAGACTGAGCTGTCAACTCTGTAATTTGAGATTTTACACTTCTCTGTTCATAGACACTGAGAGTTGGAGGCCAAGATATGTGGATGACAGTCTCCCAATAAACAAGTGACAAAAAGGTGTGGCCGCTTAGACCTTGTTCACAATAAGAAGGTAGTGAATGGCTGAATGCTATCACCGTCTGTTCACCTAAAAAAGCACCTGTGCCAAATGGGTACACAACAGCATTCTACCAAAGATATTCTGATATCATCAGAGCAGATGCACTAAAAACTACTCCCTCCGTTCCAATTTATGTGAACCTGTTTGACTGGGCACGCAGTTTAAGAAAAAAATGAAGACTTCTGGATTTGTGGTCCTAAACAAGTCAAAAAGGGGCCCAGAGTAGTTGTGTGGTTATAAAAGCTTCTCATTAAGGGCAGAATTGTAAGTTTAAGCTAAATTGTTTCCAAATTTAGAAAGGGATCACTCTTTTTGGAACGGACCAAAAAGGAAATAGGTTCACATAAACTGAAACGGAGGGAGTATCAACCATTTCCAATAAAGAGGTCCACTAGGAGACAGTCCAATGAGCTTTGTCAAAAGTGTATATAAGATTGTGTCTATGTTGTTCAAAGAAAGAAGGAAGAAGGTTAAGAAAAACCTTATTCTAAGTCACTGAATGCATTCATAAAAGAAGCAGATTACTGATGTTCCTGTAGAGAGAATGCACGGGGAAAAAATCTTATTGATTATCTAAAGTGTTATACAACGCCCTATTTATATAGGGTGATTAAATAATAATAGGTATCTACTTCCCGATGTGGGACGCTATATATGACCAACTACTTAATACTCCCCCTCAAGCCGGTGCATATAAATCATATGTACCGAGCTTATTACAGATGTAACTAATACGAGAACCAGTAAGAGACTTAGTGAAAATATCTGCTAGCTGATCATTCGACTTCACAAACTTTGTAACAATATCTCCTGAGAGTATCTTTTCTCTGACAAAGTGACAGTCGATACACCGGATTTGACGTAATATGAAGAGCAGCTTGATTATCACACCAGTTCCATCTTGCTGATTTCTCCGAACTTCCAACTCCTTGCGCAACTGTTTTACCCAAACTAGCTCACACGTTGCCATAGCCATTGCCCGATATTCGGCTTCGGCGCTAGATGGAGCAACTACATTATGTTTCTTGCTCTTCCAAGAGACCAAATTACCTCCTACACAATATCCAGACGTAGAACGTCTATCAGAAGGTGATCCTACCCCATCAGCATCTGTGTACCCAACAATCTGCCCGTGGCCTCGATCCTCGAATAGTAATCCTTTGCCTGGAGCTAACTTAATATACCGAAGAATGCGAACAACTGCATCCCAGTGACTATCACAGGGAGAATCCATAAAGTGACTTAAAACCCTCATCGGAAAAGAAATGTCAGGTCTAGTCACCGTGAGGTAATTCAATTTGCCAACCAACCTCCTATGTCTCGTAGGATCTCCTAGAGGCTCCCCCTATCTAGGCAGAAGCTTAGTATTCGGATCCATAGAAGTGTCAAAAGGTCTGTAGCCCATCATTCCAATCTCCTCAAGAATGCCTAAGGCATACTTCCGCTGCGAAATAACAATACCTGAGCTAGACTAAGCGGCCTCAATACCTAGAAAATACTTCAATCTGCCCAGATCCTTAGTTTGGAAGTGCTGAAAGAGATGCTGCTCGGTTTAGTAATACCATCCTGATCATTGCCAGTAATAACAATATCATCAACATAAACTACCAGACAAATACACAGATTAGGAGCAGAATGCTGATAGAACATAGAGTGATTAGCTTCACTGCGAGTCATGTCGAACTCCTGAATAACTATGCTGAACTTACCAAACCAAGCTCGAGGGGACTGTTTCAAACCATATAGTGACCTGCGCAATCGGCATACAAGACCACTAGACCCCCCCTCCCTCCCCCTAAGCAACAAAACCAGGTGGTTGCTCCATATAAACTTCTTTTTCAAGATCACCGTGGAGAAAAGCATTCTTAATGTCTAACTGATAAAGAGGCCAATGACGTACAACAACTATGTACAAAAAGAGACGAACAGATGCTACTTTAGCCACGGGGGAGAAAGTGTCACTATAATCAAGCCCAAAAATCTGAGTGTATCCTTTTGCAACAAGACGAGCCTTAAGCCGATCAACCTGGCCATCCGGGCCGACTTTGACTGCATAAACCCAACGACAACCAACAATAGAAGGAAGAGGAACAAGTTCCCAAGTGTCACTCGCATGTAAAGCAGACATCTCGTCAATCATAGCCTATCGCCATTCTGAATGAGATAGTGCCTCACCTGTAGACTTAGGGATAGAAATAGTGGACAAAGATGATATAAAAGCATAATGAGGTGATGACAGACGATGATAACTTAAACCGATATAATGGGGATTAGGATTAAGTGTGGATCGTATACCTTTGCTAAGTGCAATTGGTTGACTAAGAGGAGACAAGTCTGCAGTAGGTGCAGAATCTGATGCAGGACGTGAATCAACGGGGCCTGATGTTGGACGTGGACGACGATGATAACTCAAGAGTGGTGGAGCTGCAGAAGGTTGAACTGGACTAGGTGGTGGAACTGGAGCTATAGGTGGTGGAACTGCAACTGGAGTTGTAGGTGCTGGAGCTGGAGTTGTAAAGGAAGATGAATGGGAGATAGTGACTGAATCTCCAAAAGATGAAACTAGTAGCACCTCAGAAATATCTAAGTAATTACCTGGACCTGTGAAGTACAATTGGGTTTCAAAGAAGATAACATCAGCGGACATAAGGTACCATTGGAGGTCAAGAGAATAGCATCGATACCCCTTTTGCGTTCTCACGTAACCTAGAAATACGCACTTAAAAGCACGAGGAACTAACTTATCTTTTCTTGGAGTAAGGTTATGAACAAAACACGTGCTTCCAAAGACACGGGATGGAAGAGAGAACAAAGGTAAGTGGGGAAACAGACAGAAAATGGAACTTGATTCTGGATAACTGAAGATGGCATACGATTAATAAGATAGCAAGATGTAAGAACTGCATCCCCCCAAAAACGCAACGGAACATGAGATTGTATGAGTAGGGTACGAGCAGTCTCAATAAGATGTCTATTCTTTCTTTCAGCTACCCCATTTTGTTGAGATGTGTACGGAGGACAAGATGTTTGATGAATAATCCCATGAGAGTTCATAAACTGCTGAAATGGGGAAGACAATACTCTAGAGCATTATCACTACGAAATGTGCAGATAGAAACCCAAAATTGATTTTGAATTTTAGCGTGGAACGTCTGGAAAATAGAAAACAACTCAGATCGATTTTTCATCAAAAATATCCAAGTACACCTGGAATAATCATCAATGAAACTAACGAAGTAGCAGAATCCCAAGGTAGAACTGACCCGACTAGGACCCCAAACATCTGAATGGACTAAAGTAAAAGGTGACTCTGCTCGATTATCAAGACGCTAAGGGAAATAGGAGCGGGTATGCTTACCGAGCTGGCATGACTCACACTCTAGAGTGGACAAGTAAGATAAACCAAGTACCATTTTCTGAAGTTTTGACAAACTGGGATGTCCCAACCGTTTATGTAATAAATCTAGTGAATCAGTAACAAGACAAGTTGTTGAAGGAAGACAAGATGTGCGTCCATGTGATTTTGCAAGGATAAGGTAATAAAGTCCATCTAATTCACGCCCGATACCAATGATCCGCCCTGTACTGTGTTCCTGTATAACAACAAGGTCATCAAGAAATAAAACAGAGCATTTAAGTGATTTTGCTAAGCGACTATCGCCTATGTGATTAAAAGGGATATCGGTAACATAAAGAACTGAATCTAAAGGTAAGGAAGGAAGTGGACTTGCTTGACCTATTCCAGTTGCCATGGTTTGAGACCCGTTGGCCATTGTGACTATTGAGAGAGATTGAGAACATGAAATAGTAGTGAAAAGAGATTTGTTACCAGAAATATGATCACATGCACCTAAATCAATGACCCAAGACTCACGGGTTGAAGATTGGGAAACACAAGTCACACTACTATCTGTTTGAACGGAAGCTATCCCTGAAGATGTCTGTTTACATGCTTTGTACTGAAGGAACTCAATATAATCCGGTAAAAAAACCATCTGGATTGGATTCACTGCATTGGATCCAACGGATTATGCGTTAAAGGCTTCTGATACGAATGCCATTATAATATTGCGCCGGAAAAAGCAAAAATTTTCTGGGAATTACTGTTCTCGCCGGAAAATTCATTGTTCACGCCGGAAAAATATAGAAGTGGTCGGAATTTGATTTTAATTGGATGGGTAGGCTCGGATTTGCGAGGACAAGAGACTGTTCTGAAGAAAATTTCCCAAAATCTGGCCGGAAACAACCTCACGCGCTGGCGCGTGGACGTTAGAACTTCGCTGGAAAAAATCTTCCGGCAGTGCGCGAGGGCGCGTGGGTTATTTTCTTCAAGAGATTTTTCTAAGGGTTGGTCACCGAGCTCTAATCTACTTCCTGGTGGTGGTGGTTTTTGCACAACACCGACGGATAGTATGGTTCTTACGGACAAACCTATTTTTGCGGAAAAAGGGCTTCCGGTTAACTGTTTTCTCTTCCCGGAGTTGCTGGAATTTATGCACAGCGATAAATTTCTCACGCTTGCTCTGATACCATGTGAGAATGCACGGGAGAAAAATCTTATTGACTACCTAAAGTGTTGTACAACCTATTTATATACAATGAATAAATAATAATAGGTATCTACTTCCCGATGTGGGATACTATACATGACTAACTACTTTAACAGTTCCCCTAATAGCAAATGAGATACCAGATGGGGGGAGAGAAGGGAAGGGAAGAGTTTTATGCAAGCTGGACACTGGATAAGGCCTACTATCATATAAACTGGAATCTTTTACTCAACATATACAACAACATGTGCCCAATGAAAGATGGATCACCTGGACAAGGTATTGTATGTCCACCTCCTAATTTTTCCATTTTATTCAATGGGAGCCAAATAGGTTTCTTTACTTCACAAACCTGACTTCGACAGAGAGATCCTCCGTCGCCTCTCTATTTCATCTTGATGATGGAAAGATTGAATAAATGTTGGTGAGAGCAGTAAAGTTGAGCTAGATTAGTGGCTTCAAGGTGGAAAATGACAGCAGGACTTGTGCAACCATAACCACTTGTTATATGCGGATGATACCTAAATACTTTATATGGTTGAAAGAAAGGCAAATGTATCCTATTTTCTTGAATTGAGTAAGGGCAAATATGTCTTAAAGTTGTACTGATGGCTTTTGAAGCTATATCTAGTTTATGCATAAATATGAGCAGAAGTATCTTGTTTGTTTCAATTTTGTTTATTTATTTAACATAAGGAAAACAATTTCATTTATATGAGTAATTAACATATACAATCCGTCAGACGCGGATACAGGAATTAGAGTCTATGGGTTCAAAGATCAACAGAAGTTGACAGCAACCAGAACGAACAACAACCGAATCAAATAATAGTATCAACTTTTAAGTGTGTACACAAAAATATAGAAATGAAAATCAGACAAACACGCTTAAACTCCATGCATATCATATTGGGTAAAGCATTTGAGACGAAAGGAGTAACTCCAACTTAAAAATCACCTAGTTCTCTCCACTTGTCTACCAGTTCAACCTAATAATTTGTCAAACATTTTGTTCCTAAACTACAAACCCGTCACAGTCAAGAAACTGGGACCGGAAAGGTAAAACTGTATAACACTCCAACCTAAAAGGCACCTAGTTCTTTACTTCTAGAAGAAATATAACTCGAACAAAGAATGAACACAACGACCAACTTATCAGAACAGATGAGCATATTACTATTATAATCATTGCTTCTTAATTTGAACAAAACGAGCCGCAAGATGAATTGTGGCTCCTAAATACTCCGCCTTTCCAGTTCATGCGATGTTGTTTAACTGGGCACGGAGTTTAAGAAAGAAAGAAAAATTTTGGAAACTTATGATCTAAAGCAAGCCATAGCTATTTGTGTGGCTATAAATCATCTCATTAAGGATAAAATGAGAAGTTTAAAGTTAAATTATTTCTAAATATAGAGAGGTCTCATTCTTTTTGGGATATACTAAAAAGGAAAGTGCATCACAAAAATTGGGAAAGACTAAAGTTGCTATCCTTGTCCTAAGCTTCATAGCTTTTACTTGTCTAGCACCAAGCTGCTGGCACATCATAACATACAATACGTTTTAAACCAGATGTCACTTATCTAAAGTTGAATATTCACAAAATAGTTTCAACTTGAATTTAGAAACAGCATCTGATTGTTGCAGCCTTTATAGCAAGGGCCAGAGGTGATGATATGTTATTACAGTCTTTCAGTTTAGAGCCAACAGCACTCTACTGATCATATGTCACAATGAAACTTAGCAATACTCTCTGTTCCATTTTATATGACACTCTTTCCTTTTTAATCTATTTCATAGAATGACACATTTCTATATTTGGAGCTCTTATATTTATACTTCCCATCTTACCCTTAATGTCATGCTCTTATCGCCATAGAAATATCATGGCATGTTTAAAACTGTATGTTTTAAGGTACTTTTGGTATGTATCTTGTACACTTTCTTTCTTGAATTATGTGCTCAACCAAGACACCGCCATTTTAATAAAATGAAACAGAGGGAGTACTACCCAGATGTAGAGGCAAGTAAACCACTTGATATAATGAATAAATTATGAGAGGGTAACAAGAGTTTAACAACATTCTATCATGGAACTTACTACATCTTGTCTGACTTCATCAATACCCTCTGCAGTTGATACACCAAATTTCTCGGAATAGTACCTTTCCTTGTATCCAGGCTCCCCTAACTTCACCTGAAAGGTATAGGACTTTAAATAACATTCAAGACGTGACTTACATTTATTTTAAATAAGCAGGCAGCCATGCAAGCAAATTTCCTTTTCCGCATATGCAGGCAGCCGTGCAAACAAACTATCTTTCTGACAGTAACACGACACAGTATTTAGAAATCTAGTTTTACCTTCACAATCAAGTAACATACAACTCCTACAATGGGTTGAAACATTAAAAGCAACAAAAGTAGGAGGACCTCCAATCATATTGAGTGGTAATTTAAAGCAAGATTTCTGAATTCCATACGGTTACTATACCTAGCACACTTTTTGCTTTCCTCGTTTATTTCTCTTCTCTATTTCAGTACATTCTGTTGCTTCAGAAGTTTGTTATCAAATTTAAGATTTTCATCATATTCTTCCTTTTTTCTCAAGTAAAAAACATACTATTCACCATTTTTTTTAATTTTGGTTAGGTAAAGGCACTATTCAACAATATTAATGTCGTAGAAGTGCAGTTGTTAAAATCATAAAAGGAAGTTGTCTCAAAAGACCTAATATATATTTATTGGCCATATCCTAGCACCCCTATCAGCACTCTGGATCCATTCCATAACCCCCAAATCCTAAAATTTATGTGATGAAAAATCCGACCTCTAGATCTACACCCGTATCGAATACCCGCACCCGAGTCCGAGCAACATAGGTCAAAAGTAAAGACAAGAAATTATTGGGAACTTCAAAACACAAAGTAAAGAAGCACGGAAGACCATAGCTCTCCAATTTCATAATCTAAACGAATAAACTTGTAGACCTTCAACAGAAAGATTTCTTTTGAGAGAAGTTCAAATCTAACAAAAAACGAATAATATAAGGGATAAAAAGGTAGTCATCTCCCAAATCATACTATGAATAAAGATATTATCAACTACTTGATGAATTTTTGACATTAACTAAGGTATTGAAATCACACTTGATCTACTCCTTCTATAGTTGAATGTTCCCTAAATATTGGTAAGTTTTCAAAAATCTGATCTATAGTACTTTAACATAGCTATAAGCCTATGTAATCTTCACTTTTGGAAAAACGTTGAGTTGATGTTCAACCCATGATTAGACAGTTTCAAGCTCATTCTCTGGACTCGGTTATTCATTTTGGGACAAAGTACTGATATTCAAAATCAAGCAGAATCAGAACTTCCTTGATCAGTTGAATAGACTCTCTTGTATCAAGAAGTGTAACATTTAAGACAGATGAAGCACCTTGTCCTCCGCCGGAGGCTGTGGCTGAGCATTAACCTCATTTCTTGCTCTTTCGTTATTTTCTATTGACTGCAGTAGGGAAAAAAATCAAAAGAGTATAAAATATTATAATAACAATAGTGAAACAACAAGAACGCCAACAAAAACAATGGTCATGATAACAATAATAATGAAGATCATGAGCAAATAAGCCGTAGATCATGTTCAATATTAAGCATGCTTGCTCAAAGGCTTTAACTTTTGGAGCCAAAAAAGCAAAACAGACTACTGCTTCACAGAAACTTGGTAGAGTAACTAGTTCAATTGTAACTACATCCAGGATTTAGCATAAAAGAAGGTGCAGTGACTAGTAACAAATTGGCAAAGCAATTCAGGCAGTGCCAAGAAGTTTGGTGAAATTGACGGAAAACTTAAGTATGAAATTTCTGAAACAGGCAGCAAGAAAGAAAGGCTTATGAGTAACTAACACATTGCTAAAACATCATTTCAACTGAAACTAAAGACCAAACATTGGTTATACTGCGAGTTTCAGAAAGAAAAAAAAAACTAGACTAGTCAGATACATAAGAAACCACCCCTACTTCTAATAAAGAGGCGCATAACTAAAAAGGAAAATGGATATTGGATATCCCTGACAAATAAATATCTTACAGCTCTATAAGCATGGTTAGATAACCAGAAACAGGTTTAAAAATTCTAATTTCTTCATAGGATCTTCTCTGTATCATTGTCTGTGCTATGATATTTAGGCAGGAATTAAAGAGACCACCTGCTTTATCCTAGCTCTCTTTTGAAAGATTTGGTCTTCATAAACTGCTGCCGCCTGAATAAAATGTTCTACTCTATCCAAAAACACCTGCAAATGAATGGTCATATTATTCACCCAAAACATAACAACCGGCAATGCAGAGAAACTAACAGTATATCTAGCTAATGCAAAAAAAAGAACACTGCAAAGCTAGTCGTGTCTTGTATGACTACATAATAAACCCTTATATATATTAGCCTTTAATATTCAAGCTAATTACATCTCACAAAATGAAGCAAAGTCCTTGAATCAAAGTGGTAATATTTAGAAGTAAATGAAACATAAGGACTATCAGATATGTTACCCGAACTGTCCTGTAATATAAAGTTGTTTTACATACAATCATGTGTAAAATGAAGCTTGAGGAAAGTAAGTGGTAATGGGCAAGTCAGGTAGAGGCGTAGAGCGTGAAAATAGATAAAACATTACTATAATGCAGTGTTGTTAAAAGCGACCGCTTCCTCGCTTAAAGCGAGAAGCAATGCAGAGCGAGGCATCTGGCGCTTCTCTGATCTGAAGCGTATCAGGTACACAAAAACGATCGCTTCCCCTGAAAAACGCGAGAAGCGAACAAAGCGACAGAAGCGAGCGCTTCTTTAAAACTGGGCTGCCAACGTTAATTAATTAGAAAGGCTCTCTTTTTTAACTTCAAGATCATCAAGTTTGGTCCCAGGTATGTGATTTCTTCTTCTTCCTCCTTCTTCTTCTTCTTTTTCTTTTTCTTTCACGGTTTCAGTGTCCAAATAGTAGCGAAATGCTGGCGAAATTTCTTTTCCCCTTCAGTTCTTTTTCTCATTCTCCTCTTCTTCTTCTTCATTTTCTTTCACTGTTTCAGTGATAAGTTACAGCGAAATGCTGCCATTTTTCGTTTCAGTTATACTGCCATTTTTTGGCATACTTACTGTCATTTTTTTCATATCATTTAATCTTAGTTGTCTATGCAGTATTTATTTTATTGTCATTCTCCTTTCTTTTTCTTCACTGTCTATGCAGTATTTATTTTAATATATATTTTTAAATTCCGCTTTACTTCAAAAAAGCGAGCGCTTCACTTCTCGCTTTAAGCGAAAAGGGCCTTGTCGCTTTTCCTCGCTTCACACTCTTCACAACACTGCTATAATGCCACCTAGAAGGTTTAGGAGTGTCTTTTCTTATTAGGCCTCCTTTTAATTATGGGTGACTTCACAGCTTTTGTGTAGTCTTTTACTTATACATAATATGTTACCTTTTCAAAAAAAAAATGGCCACCTAGAAGGTCCCTGATTTTGACAACTAAAAAACATTATCTTCGACAGATGCAAATCTTAAAGTTCAATTTCAAAGGACTCATTAGCAAACTTAGCTCAAGCTTCCAATACCATAATGAACTCGGTGTGAAATATGATCAAATAGAAAAGCAAATTGTTTTCCAGTTAACCACCTCAGTAAAAATGAGATGGAAAGCAATCTATCCCAAAAAAAAAGGAGATGGAGAGCAGGAAAGACAAATGTCTACCATTTGAACATAACCACCTGCACTTGCATATAAAAAGGTCTAATTGTCTCTAGAAGTCTTAATAGCCCCTAAAGTAACCTAAGTTTCTTGTTCCCCAGGCATCACATTAGCCAGTAAACCTTGGACATTTGACACTGCAGAGATACAACATATTACCAATATACGCTTTGCAAAGGAGTGCGGATAATACTCATGACCATCAGAGATTAAAATTAACCAAATTACCCAAAATAAACGAACTAGCAGTCAGTACCTGCATTAGAAATGTAGATATAACAAGATAAAAGTTTCATCTGATGGAACAATGAAAACATCTACATTATTCAAGCATGCGGCAGTATATCACATATAGCTTGAATCCTTGTCAGAAATTTGAAGTGTTGCATTGTTGAAAAGCAAATTACCTCACCCGCATCTGTAAGATAACCACCCATTGTTGTAAACTCTCTTCTATAGATGCACATCAGCAGATTGATGGCACCCTACAAAAGTATACAGGATTAAATCATTAACTGAATAAGTAGAATGATCAGCAGCTGCATAACAGTTGGAGAGAAGGAATAGCAGTTGCAAGCCATTGGACTGAAAAAGAATTATGGTATGCCCAAGATTCTTTAACCATCAGAGTAGAATATCCATATAGAAAAGCCCATTATTACCAGAGATATAACAATCAAGATGCAAATGCCTACATCAGGATAACTGCATACCTCTCGAATCTCCAGTGTTGGCATATGGGGAAGAAAATCGTTTCCAACAAAAAAACACAAAAAAACAAAATCATCCACCACCCTTTCAAAGTCTATCCGAAATGGAGGGTTGTAAATCTCCAAATCATATTGCAGATACTCTCGCAACACCCAGATGTTGAGAAACTGCGAATGGGACAAAGAGGCAACAACAAGATGGACCAAAATATTAGATGATAAACAAAACTTGAAATTGGAACTCAAAAGAAAAGGAAGCAAATTTGAACCTGATATTTCTTCTTGTGAATAGGTGTTTCATTCACACCCTTTCCATCTTCGCCTTGGTTTCCGTTTGTACCGCGACAATCAGCTGCAAGATGTCCAACCTGACCACAGGCAAAACACTTCTCCTGCTGACCTGGTGATGTAATCACCTGTAGAGAAGATCAGACTTTCAGTTTTCGAGAACGAATTAATTTGATGACACAGCCAATGGATAGTAGTAGTTACTGACCTCCCTCAATATTGAAAAATGGACTTCATGAGTAGCAAGAGACAGCATAATCAGATCTGCATCCTAAACAAAGCAAATTGGATAATCATGAAGAAATTAAGACATGAGATAATCAAGATAAACGCAACAGAAATCCAGGAACACTGTTGAAAGGAAAATAGCAAGGTTGAACAACCCATATTCTGTCAAAAACATATCAATTTCTTTCTTTCTTTCTTTCTTTTTTCTTTTTTCGGATAGGTAAAGGACATAAATTTCTTATTAACAAAAAAAAAGGATTAAAAGAATTTAAGATGTTAATAAACAATAGTGTAACTCTTTCACTCACTAGGCCATAAAGACAATGACAGGTATTTGGGTCGAAGCCAGGAAGGTTACGTTGCAAGCGGATGTAGGACATAATTTTGTGTTCACCCTCACCAGGAACATTAGCATCAGAAAGGATAACCTTCAAATAATCACCCAATGCAGCCGAATAAATAAGTTAGGAGAGAAACGGTATCCTGAAAATCAGAATTGCATCAAAAAATAACCAGAAAGGATTACTCCACCGAAGGAATCCTTAAATCTTAAAAGATTGTACTAAAGTAAGTTGACTTTAGTAGATTATACTGGAACAACCTTGGTAAACCGCCAGCCTGCATTTTTATTCAACCTCGACTGTATATAATACTGAAGAGCTACTGCTAGTACTGCCATAAATGGAGTACCAGGAGTAATAACATTTGAATCAGATGTCTCAGGCTTTCCTGTAGACAATAAACTAGCAGCCTCCATCTCAAACTCTTCCCTCAACCTTTTTTCTTCAGCTTCCTGTCATAAAAAATTGAATGAGATGCATAATTCTACCGTGTTAAACCACATAGACAAAGGAAAAATTATACAGCTTCAGCGGCATCTTTAGCGGCTCTAAAACGCCTGGTTCGCTGCTGGTTCATCTTAGCTCGAGGAGCCACTCCATCTAAGAAATAGATAGTGAAGTTAAGACTTTAAACATTGAAAGTAAAAAGATATGCAACATCAGTAGCCAGAACTTACCAATAGCCATATAGAGGAGTTTTCTTGGACGGACTAATGAGAAAAGATGGTCAATGTAGTCAAAAATTGATTTGAATACGTCATCGTAAGTTGCTGGTGCAGGCTGCAAGGTGGAGAAGAAAACTCTGATATAAAGGTAGTACCTAACTATAGGAAAAACACTAGAGAAACGGGGAGATATACCAAGTAATTGCAACAAATTATCAGAATCCTAGTTGGGACCAGAACGTCTATTGAGGTAGCTAAGCTAACTCCATATTTCAAGGTAGTAATGACCAATCTATAAAGTACATTGATTGGATATCTTGCATTCTTTCACTATTGCGGACCTAAATTTGCCCATTTCAAGCATCAAATGACAAGATTCATCATCATATAGACACATCCTTCATTAGATTCATCAAATACTACTTTTTTAGGTAAATGCCACATAGATAACTCAATGCAGAAACTCTGCCAATCTGTGAATGGTCATTGGTTTACGGCCCTCATGTACAAATGACCAAGTAAATGTCTTAAATTCCTCCATCCTATCTCTGTCTTTATGCACTTCAGGAAAAGTTTCACTATAACTTTGCTGCTGATTCTCATTTAAGATCCTGTCTCGTCTTTATTGCAATTCCAGCAAATTTTTGTCCCAGTCCCACTGTATGATTTCACAAAAATTAATAACTTTAAGCTGCTCAATCTGCCCTGCAAACATTATTGGTTCTTATCAGGTACAAGCAGTGTGCAGCATATCCTTGAATCCAGGTTCACTGAAGCAGCTTATTAATCTTCAAACATAAATTTTAGGATGTCTTGATTTTGGAAGCTCCATATTCTGTATCTTGCAACTAGAAAATGAAGTTTCTTTTTTTATCTTTTACCTTTTTTGGTATCTTACTTAAGTGAGTCTTTTTTAGGAAGCTTTTTTGATAAGTAAAAGGTATTATTAATAACAAATTCAGTACCAAGAAAGTACTGAAAGAGAGGTTTTTGGGAAGGTTGCTTCCTATGTATTTAACTACTATGAGAAGAGGCTCTCGTCGCTTCTTTTATTACAAAACTCTCGAGTCTCTTATATTTAATTGTTCATTTCATATTTAGACCATTTTAGTATCCTCGGTTTATGAGTATCACTACAGAATCCAAATGTACTATCTCATAGGTTTGAGTTCATCATACCCCACCACCTCCCAAACTCCCATAGCTGCACAGGTAGCGGTTAAAGGTCCTAACATCACAGAGTTGCATCAAGTGACTTCCAAATTATGCATGTTATGATTAAGATGGAAGCAAAATCTCATATTACTCCTATATTAATTGCAAAGTTCTCTAATGCTTCAGTAGTTGGTCATCACAAGTCACTAATCAGTCATTTAGTACCTCGTTAGATCTTTGTGTCTTTGTTTATTATGTAACAGTAACTATATCACATCTAAACTGTAAATATGCATCTCAGTTGTGACTGATAAAGCTTAATATCATAACATAATAACAGTAATAATTTTACTTAGTAACCAATATCATTGTACAGTTTGACACAACTATTTGAAACAAAAAGGAAATAATTTGATACATCTAACTCTAAACCAAGAGCATTCTAACAACGATAACTTAATAATTTCTCTGCACCAAAAAAAAAAAAGGGGGGGGGGGGGGGGGGGACAGTGCGTCAACACCCCCAGTCATCCATCTATACAACATCTGCGACATTATAAATAACCAGTACTGTTATATTATCAAATACGCCATCCATCTTCCATCTGGTAATTGTGCACAGTTGACTGGAATCATATCTGATTCTCAAACCAATTTTTTACACGACTTGAATTCCAGAACCTTCTTAAGCTAAATCCCTTCTTTTTCATCGACCAGAGAAAGGTCAAATGTCCGCCAATAAAAAATTGGGTTTCTTTGTCGACTTGTCTACATTAACTTATCTTTGATAAAAAGGGCATCCCAGTGCACTAACACCCTGCTATGTGCATAAAATTAAAGAAAATAATATTTGCAAAGTACCTAGCCAATCTGGTCTTGCTTACAGAAATAGTAGTACCAGTTTTTGCTCCCCAAACAGCTAAACATGTAACTGCAAGACATCTCTCCTCACTAAGGTCCACATTGACTCATTCTAAGACTCCCAGTATGCCTCAAATATTTACAAAATACAGCAGTATCCTAATTTCCAGCTATAAATGCAAAAGCATGAAACTTTCATCATATTCTCTGAAAAAAGATACAAAACTTTAGCACCCATATTTTACAAAATTCACATTAGAGGTGTAAATGACTCAAGATCTCAAACATGCATGGAGCCGATCATGATCACTGAGTTGCCCGAACCGATAGGGACAAGATTTTTGATTCCTTAACATGTTAGTGTTTGCCTCTTGCACATATGATGTGAGCAATTCTAACGCTCATTCCCTGCCTTCCCCATTCAGCAGTAGCCATACAGTGGCTCACTTTTCACTCAATCTGTTTCTCCCTCTGGGTTTCTCTATACCTCCATCCATAAGTTATCTTTGATTTCTCCATAATGATTTTCTCTCTATCTCCAAATTCACTCGTCTCTGATCTTACCTTCTTTCTCTCTCATTATTGAACTTCTTGTGGGTTGTGACCTCCTTCGATAATTACCTTTGGCAAATGAAAAATAACTATTACTCTGAAGTTGGTAAACAGTAGTCAGAGCAAAGCCTGAGTGCAAAAAGAGTCATGTTATTGCCTCTAGCAATTTTTTTTGGTATAATGATGTAGGGATTTCGGGTAAGAAAGTTGGGGTTTTGTTGCCGATTTGAACAAAAAGCATCACTTTCAATTATTTTCCATTATGGAATCGCCAAACTACATACAATGAATATCCAGATCAGCCAAGGTAAATGTTACTTCCTACCAGCACAATTATCTGGTGACACTACAGATACTTAGTAATGTTAAAAATCACCTAGCGTCTCTTCGTTTCTGATAGCATTTCAACCTTAGTTCTATTCTGCTTCATTGATTTTATTTATCAAACAAAGTTCTTCTTTCTTTCTCTCTCAAATTGAACTAACCATGCAAAGCTTGAGCCTTCCATTCATTCCATTCATGCCAAGCACATAATTCATACTCTTTAAAGCACATATAAAGAATTTCAACAAGGATAATTTCCAACTTAAAGAATGAAAGAGTGCTGAATTATGACAGCCTACAATTATAAGGAAAATTCTTAAAGTATGGCCCTTTGAATTTGAGCAGTGTTTGCCGATAATCTTCAAATAACAATGAAAGCCCTATAAAAGGAAAGAGGAAACAAGAAGGCCGTTTTGCTATTTATCCTATCCTAAACCATACATATTTAGGCTGGGGATAAAAAATTAAGAGGGTGTTTGGATTGGCTTTTAAGCTGTTCAAATTAGCTTTTAAGCTCTTTTTAGCTTTTTTCAGTGTTTGGGAATGTCAGAAAAGTGCTTAAAATATGTTAAAAACTGCTTAAAACAAGCCAAAAGCAATAAGCTGGACAACCCCAACTTATTGCTTTTTGGCTTAAAAGCTATTTCTGCTGAAACGCCACTTTTTTTAAGCCAATCCAAACGGGCTCTAAATCTGGACTGCCAATATACTGGTCCAAAGTTTAATCTAGTAAAGGGTCTTAATTAATTATGGGAAGTACATTACAAGAAGAGTGTGCTTGCAACGACAGGTTTAGTAGACTGTACATGGATCTACATAAACATACAAACAGGACATGACTAGGGTAGCTGTCCAGATAATATATTATTTTATGATGCACTTGGGATTCACATTTTTTTATAATAGATGCGGCATTAGTTTGGAGGTACATGCATCAAGAAAATCTTTCTAAAGAAAGAAGCAATGGATTGAATTGCACAAGAAATATTGTCTCTTGCCATATAAACAGTGGTTCCTTCGCTTTCCTGCTAGACCAACTCAGAGGAAGTCAATCTCCTCCTATGCATGCTTCACAGCCAATCAACATCTTCAGTTAGCAGCTATGACTAAGTTAAATAAATTACCTATTGTGAACTGCATATCATGATGCATGCATGTTTCCCCTAAAAACCATGTCAAGTGTACAGTCACAGAAAATAAAACATCCTTTTAACATAGAAAGCCGTATAAGTGCAAATAAACTATTTCCCTAGCAACTAGTAAAAACAAATTCTCACATGCTTTGTGCAAGAGCTTATACGAATTAAGTATACCAAATACCACGTAATTTGATTGGAAAACACTTTCAAAAGAAAACACTCATTCACCTTTCCCTCGGGATGAAAACAAGGGTGAATGATACCATTCATGTCCAAGTACATGTTATCAAATTCCATGCCATTAGGGTTTGGCTTTGAAACATCCACTGGAACAAACAGCCCATGACTGTCCTCTTTAGGCTCTTCCTCTACCACGTCCACAATCGATAGCGGGTATCGATCAGCCAACCACCTATAAAATGCTGGTACTCCCATTTTTTGCCGATTAGCCCAGCTCCAGTCAATTAAAACCTTGCACCTGATTTCGAATATTAAACAGCAACACCAAAATTTGATGAAGAAGTCAGTATTTTTTTTCTTTTTAGCTTTGAATTGTTCATATCTATATATAGCTATACTGAACCCACGTTTTGATCCGAATAACAGGTTACAGAAATCAAAAACTTTTGTCTTACTATATCTAGATTGAACAGATACATGGAATTAGTCAAAAAGATAGATTTTTTGTGAAAGCTTCAGTATAAACAAACACACACACACACACACAGAGACCTATATGCATATATACATACCTAACTCTTCTTCTGGAAAACAATGATAGCAAAATATCAAATCAATAACATCCATGTTTTCCGGCGTGTAGGAAGAGAAAAATCAATATCGGATTTAAGAATGAAAAGAAACAGAGAAACCCAAATCAATCTAATCAACAAAAATAAACGCACCTGAAGGGGTTTTAGAACTTCAAAAACTGAGAAATTCTTCTGAATTATGGAAATGGCAATTCACCTCAAAAGTGGATCAATCCTGAGAAAACTAGGGTCCTAGATATGAGAATTGAGAAGAGACAGAGAGTAGGAGAGGTTTAAGGAAAAAATGAGATCAATTTCTAAGGACTCAAACAACTCTCCTTAGCAGCGTTGAATCATATGGATTTCCTGTCTTCTCCTCTTCTCAGTACGTCAAACTCTCTTCTGTACTTTTATTTTCCTTTCCTTTCTTTTCCTCCTTTTTCCTCTTCTAGTTATTACTGTAATTTGCTTTTTTCTAGGAAATGTGTAGTACAACATTCAATTGTTGTGGAAATGACAGTTGAATTGACTACTGTACCCTTTTAAGTTTAGGTTAATTAGAATGTTTTTGGACAATGTGAGTTTTGAAATAAGGAAAAAAATGTTATAAAATAAAAACTGTAAAGTAAGTAAACCAAAAATAAATATAGAGAGATTGATATATTATTCAATTTCAAACTGACATACATAATAAACTGAAATATCCTCTATTTATAGAAGAAAAAAAGCTATTGTGAAAGTTGTTGCGTAAGCTGCTACTACAAGTTGTTGTGTAAGCTACTTGTAAGTTGCTATTGCAAGTTGATGTATAAGCTGCTTGTAAGCTCCTACTGCAAGTTGCTGTGTAAGCTTCTTGTAATATGTTATTGTACCAACTATAGATAATCTTCTAACGGGGGTAATATTTATCCATAACAGAGTGCAGAAATGATAAGCTTCTTAAAAAGGCTTATTTCCAATAGAGTACTAAATAGATAAACATATTTACGGTAGAGTCCAATATGGATAAGCTTCTTCAGGAAGCTTATTTACAACGGAGCAGAGTACTAAATGGACATCCATAATAAATATATATATATATATACATATATACATATATATATATATATATATATATATATATATATATATGTATATATATAACAGACTCCCCCTTGGATGTTCATTAAAAAGATAATGCGCCTCATTAAAACCTTACTAAGAAAAATCCCGTGGAAAAAATTCTAGTAAAGGAAAAAGAGTACACATATTTAGTAATACGCATTGCTAGTTGCCTCATTAAAAACCTTATAAGGAAAACCATGTGGGAAAAACCTTGATAAGGGAAAAAGAGTACAACGCGTATTTTACTCCCCCTGATGAAACCTTGTTTCAAATATTTGAGTCTCTGCATTCCAATTTTGTATACCATCTTCTCAAAAGTTGAAGTTGGTAAAGATTTAGTGAATAAATCTGTCCGATTGTCACTTGAACGGATTTGTTGCACATCGATAGTACCATTCTTTTGGAGATCATGTGTGAAGAATAACTTTGGTAAAAAATGTGTTTCGTTCTATATGCTTTTATGGATCCTCCATTTAATTGGGCTATGGATGCAACATTGTCTTCGTATAAAATTGTGGGCCTTTCATCACATTCCAACCCACATTTTGAATAAAATGACTCATTGATCTTAACCATATGCATTCCCTACTTGCTTCATGAATAGCTATTATCTTAGCATGATTTGAAGAAGTAGCAACAATAGATTGCTTTGTGGAGTGCCATGATATGACAGTACATTCACATGTAAACACGTACCCAGTTTGAGATCGAGCTTTCTGGGGATCAGATAAATAACCTGCATCTGCATAACCAATAAGATTTGCGCCACCTTTGTTAGCATAAAACAAACCCAAATCAATTGTTCCCTTTAAATATCGCAATATATGTTTAATCTTGTTCTAATATTTTCGTGTAGGAGAAGAGCTATATCTAGTAAATTAACAGAAAATGATATATTAGGTCATGTAGTATTAGCAAGATATATAACTGCATCAATTGCACTGAGATAGAGTATTTCAGGACCAAGGAGTTCTTCATCCTCTTCTAGAGGTCGAAACGGATCTTTATTCACTTCAAGTGATCGAACAATCATTGGTGTACTCAATGGGTGCGCTTGTCCATGTAAAAGCATTTAAAGTCCCTTTCTGTATAGTTTGATGGATAAAGATCACGTATGCTAAATGTTCAATTTGCATACCAAGAAAAAGTTTTGTCTTCCCAAGATCTTTTATCTCAAATTTTTCTTAAAATATCCAATTGCCTTTTGGAGCTCTTCTGGAGTTCCAACAAGATTTATGTCATCAACATAAATAGCAAGTATAACAAATTTTGATACCATTTTCTTTATAAAAATATATGGACAAATAATATCATTTATGTAACTTTCTTTTAGCAAATATTCACTGAGGCGATTATACCACATACGCCCAGATTGCTAATTTAAAATGTACAAAGATCTTTGTAATCTGACCGGGTATATTTCTTGAGACTTTGAAATATTGTAACGACCCGGTCGGTCGTTTTGAGAGTATCAGACCCAATCCCCTATTTATTGCTCCCTATATGTTATTTTATGGCTTAGTGACTTGTCGGGATGCCTGGTGTCGGGTTCAGAAGAGTTTCAAAGTGGAATGGGACACATAATCCCTAAAATAGAAGTTTAAGTCTTAGGAGTTGACCGTAGTTTACTTATATGAAGACGACTCCGGAATGGAGTTTCTATAGTTCCAATGGCTCTATATGGTGATTTTGGTCTTAGGAGCGTGTCCGGATATTGATTTGGAGGTCCGTAGGTCCTTTCGGCGTAAATTGGCGAATGTTGAAAAGTTGGAAGATTTTGGAAAGTTTGACCGGGAGTGGACTTTTTGAGGTAATTTTTCAATTCTTTGAAAAAATAATATTCCATTATTTAAATTAGTTTCCTATAGTTATATTTATAGTATGAAATTGTTTTGGCTAGATTCGGACCGTACGGAGTTGGAAAATCGAGGGATAGGTCTTCTAATTGATTGATTTGGCGTGGTTTGAGGTAAGTGACTTGTCTAACCTTGTGTGGGGGAGTTCCCCTTAGGATTTGTACTGTGGTGATAACTTGTGATATGTGAAGGCCGTGTACGCAAGGTGGCGAGTGCGCACACAGGCTAGATGTTGAAAATTTGGTTTTAGCTAAGTAGTTTTCTTTTAATGCCTTAATTGAGTTACTTTAGCATATTAAGTCATCATGTTTAGCCTAATTTCACATGTCTACTTGTCTTATCTCTTAGTTTCAACTTGTACTACATGCTTAGTTGAATTACTTGCTTTCTTGATTATTTATTCATTATTTAACTGTGGGATTCTTTACTTGAAATTGCTATCCTTGAAATATCATTGTTTCGGTTGTTATGTTTTGGTTTTTCGTGATTATTGTTGAGGTGACTGTTTGGTTGTTGCACGAGGATTCTGCCGTGTTGTGGTTATTATTACACGAGGGTTTTGTCGTGCGTTTGTTATTGTTGCACGAGGTTTCTGTCGTGCGGTTGTTATTGTTGCACGAGGTTTTTGTCGTGCCGTTGTGATTATTGATACGCATGCGATGATATAAGGTCTGGGTGTTGAAACGCATGTGATATGATAAGGTGGGCTTGAAACTCGGGGCTAGTAGGGGAACTACTAAAAGTCATGCGATGTGATAAGGTGGGCTAAACGCGGGATGATATTTCAGGAAAATGATTTTCAAAACAAAATATAAAGGCACCTGTGGTGATATAAGGAAAGATAGTGAATTATTTTACATTTGGGATTACGAGGCGGTACCTCGGGAGTGCCCCTGTTGATTTTGTCTATCTGCTGTATTGTTGTTTGTTGTTCCCTTAACATGTATTCTTTTGTTTTCTTCTTGCTGTTTCTTGATTTTGTGTTGTTACTTTCTGTAAATTCTTTACTGTTTCACTTCCCTGCCATTCTTATTATTTCATTATATCTTCTGCCTTGTTCTTATTATCTCCAGTAGGGCCCTGATCTGACCTCGTCATTACTCTACCGAGGTTAGGCTTGGCACTTACTGGGTATCATTGTGGTGTACTCATACTACACTTCTGCACATGTTTTGTGCAGATCCGGGTACATCTTATCAGCCTTAGTGTTAGTGTGTGGAGTGACTTATTTATCGGAGACTTCAAGGTACACCTGATCGCGTCCGCAGGCCCCAGAATCCCCTTCTATCCCGTCTTTTCCTTGTTTTTTAATGTTCTTGATAGAGACAAATATATAGGATTGTGCAACATTGTATCTAGAGCTTGTGACTTATTTCTTACCGGATTTTGGGAGTTGTATATACTTTGAGTTGCGATTTTTACCTTATACAGTTGTTGGCGTTTTGAGCTTTTAGATTATTAATTCAATTATTCTGCATGCTTGTTAGGCTTACCTAGTCTTAGAGACTAGGTGCCGTCATGACATCCTACGGAGGGAAATTGGAATCGTGAATTGGGGTTGTGACAAATATATGCTTCAGACATTTTAATTCCTTCAGGGATCTTCATATATATTTATTCAAATGAGTCATATAGGTTATGACTTGCATTTGAATGGCATGACATCTTCAGGTGTCTCGACTATAGGTCTGATCCTCACAATCTTTTACAATATTGTGCACTATATAAATATATCGTCGGCGATCATTTTGTATCGGTTCGCAAGCGACATAACTTGTTGAGATATCATCACTTTCTTTATTTTCAGGTACCTAAACTTCTTCTGGAGTTTCGTGAAATGTTATGTCGTGGGCTCTTCTAGAGCTCATTTTCTCCTCATTATGATCATTTTGATCATTTTGCTCCTATCCTTTTCAAGGATTGTTACCTTTAGAACCGATCGGTCTACTATGATTCATTCGTGCAGTAAACTCTATCCTTCAGGGACTTTAATTTTAATAAGAGAATTTGCAGTTGAGATATGATATTTAATTTTAGATCAACAAATGCTTCTGGCATTTGACTTGAATTATCTTGTGAATGAGGATCATATTAATGATAATTTGATTCTTATAACATATTTTCCAACTGCTTATTTCATCCCCCAAATGTTAGAAGAACTAACATATATCCCCAATTTTCTTTGGGAAAACTATCTTTGTGTTGTGCTAGAGAAATTAATCATATACCACACATCAAAAGTTATTAGATAGTAAAATTATTTGGTTTATGATCCTAAACCAATTGTGAGGGGAGGACTTATCATATCTTGTTGGTTTGATGCATACAAGTGCAACTGTATGCAATTTAGAAAATCTTAGACCAACACATGAAGCTTTATTCTCATAAGTAATAGTTTAGCCATTAATAGGAGGTATTCAATGCTAAACCAACTGGAATATAAACCAACATTATCAATATGAACTATCTTGATTACATAATCTGAAAATTATGCTCTTAATTGAGAAAAGCA